GCACGCCTTTAATCCCAGCACTAGGGAGGCAGAGGCAGGTGGATCTCTGTGAGTTCAAGGCCAGCCTGGTCTACATAGTGAATTCCAGAACAGCTGGGGCTACAGGGACACCCTGTCTCAAAAAGCCCCCAAAAAAAAAAAAAAAAAAAAAAGTCTCTTGAGAACTGTTAGCTCTGTGCTTCCCTTAACGTCATTCAGTAAAATTTTTTTTCAGTCTCATGTAGCCCAGGCTGGCCTGAAATTTGTTATGGAGTCGAGGATAGCCTTGAATTCCTGATTCTCCTGTTTCCTCGCACTTCTCAAGAGCTGGTGCAGGCACCGAGCACACCCAGGTTTCAATGAACTGCTGATTATCCCCTAGGTAATTAGGGAATCGTGAAGGCCAAAGGAGACACCGCAAGGTTCAGTATAATCTGATCAGAAGTGGATATGGCTTTTGCTTCGATTGCCTTGACGGCAATAAACAACGCTGATCTTTCGTCCTTTTACCTCTTCATTTTCAGCTTTACACACTGGGCCCCGCCAGTCCACCCACTTTTCAGAAACTCTCAAAAGCTGTTCCCTGGAAAAAGTTCCAAGCTCCTAACCAGTAATTCGGAAGCCCCCGGAAATAGTTTAAAGTTCCTAACCAGCAATTCGGGAGCTACTCAGAGCCCTGCAGGTAAGGGTAACTGCGAAGCTTCCAGAGCCCTGCAACGAACCCGAACAGCTCGCTTGCGCGGGCAGCTAACGCTAAGGGAGCCAAGGGGTTCCAGAGCGCAGGCGCGCGCCTCACGGCCGTGCCCCCTGCTCGAGTGGAACTAGCCAATGGGAACGGCCGGCCTGGTGAGCGCGCCACTCCTCCCGAGCCCGCTGTGTGGGATCGCACTGCCAATCCGCCTGCGTGGCGTCACCCGAGCGCGCCGGAAGTGCGCGTCTTTCGTGCACCGCTGGCTAGGAGAGGAGGAAGTTGGCTTCTGACCGGCCTGGGCCGTGTGAGCGAGGCCGCGGACGGCAGCTGTAGCTGCTTGGACACACTGCGGGCGGCACGATGGGAGACGAGATGGATGCCATGATCCCTGAGCGGGAGATGAAGGTCAGAGACCGGCCGCGGCCTCCCCGCCTGCCGTAGTCCTGGCGCGGCCTCGGAGCCCCGCCTCCTCTGGCTGCTCGAACAGTCTGCCGTGGTCAGAGTGCTCACGGGCGCGTCCAGCTGCTGGTGCGAGTCGCCGGCGAGAGGTGCAGGTGCAGGCCGCCTGCCCTCCGGAGGGCCCGGGCACGCCTCAGTGATCCCGGCTGCTGCTGTGCTGGTCGCAGTGGTGGTGGGCGCTGCTGGGTACCGTGCGGGAGGCACTGAGGTCATCACTGCAGCCCCACAGCTAGCTGGTAGAGAAGCGCAAGCTAGCGTTCCGAAAGTCACGTGAATCGGGACTGACGCCAAAGCCAGACTCTCTTGTCATTCTCTTTTATTACTATTATTTGTTCGATCTTTTTGAAACAGGGTTTCCTTGTAGCCTCAGCTGGCCTGAAACTCGCAGTGTAGACCAGGCTGGCCTCGATCTCACAGAGATCCACCTGCCTCTGCCTCCCAAGTGCTGGAATTAAAGGCGTGCACCACTTCACTTGGCAATTATTGTTATTTTTAAGGCAGGGTCTCTTGTAGCCCAGGCTGTCTTCTAACGGTATGTAGTTGAGACTGGCCTTGAACTCTTGATGTCCCTGCCTCCATCCTCCAAGTGCTGGGATTACTGGTGTGCATTACTACGACAGGCATAGACCTTCATTTCTTAGCTCGATCTGTACTGATGCTGGAAGGTGATGCAGGCTGAGGTGGAACCAGGAAACATCATTTGTCTTCTAAAAATCCTTGTTAATCGTTCGGGGAAGACGATTTGGCACTGGAAGTCAGCCTAAAGTCGGGAAACTAAAGGGAGGGCCAAGTGGTCCTAATGGAACACACACACCCCCCATAACATTATATGGCGTGTTAATAGATGTTAGGTTTTAGGCATTTGTATGAACAGCAAGTCACTAAAGGGCATATAAGAGAGAGTGATCCATACCACATTTATTTTATTATTTTTTTGGCAGGGTCTCCTCAGCCCCAACCCACCTGAAACTCACTATGTAGACCAGGCTGGCCTCCCATCTCACAGAGATCATTGCCTGCCTCTGTCTCTGGAGTGCTGGGATTAAAGGCATGCGCAGACCACATTTAGAACAGTAATTCTTGATCATCACTGCCTGTGGCCAGCCCCTAATGGGCATGTATTGGAGTCTTCAGATATGCTGGAAAAAGATATCTTAGAATTACTGACTGAACATAGTGAACAGAGCTTTTCTGTGCTGCTTCCTCACACTGGTCTGCCATGAAAAGGCTGCCAAAACCCATAGGATAGTTGTTGTTATTGGGATGAGAATCACAAAAAAGACATTCCTTTGTGAAAACCATGTGGTGTGGTCCCACGTGGAGAATTGTGTGACATTTTGCCCACTATAATCAATTGGGGTTGAGAATATTTTGGTTGAGGGGCTGGAGAGATGGCTCAGGGGTTAAGAGCACTGACTGCTCTTACAGAGGATGGGGTTCAATTCCCAGCACCCACATGGCAGTTAACGGTTGTTTGTAACTCCAGTTCCAGGGGCTCTGACACCCTCTTCTGACCTCTTTGGGCATTGCACAACATGACACTCATGCAGGCATAACAACACTCATACACATAAAATAAAAATAAATACTTTTTTAAAAAAGAATTATTTCAGTTGATCTTTGAGAAAATATGCATTAAACCCAGATTCCAAGAAAATATGAGGGGTGTGTTAGGGATCTTCAATGAAACATACCAAAAGATTGTCCAAAAGTAAGTTTTCTCTTGTAGCTGTCACATTCTTTTCACCAAAACCTTGACCTGAAGATAGGTTTTAGAGTTTATATATTAGATACTACACACACACACACACACACACACACACACATATATATGTATGTGTGTGTGTTGTATATGTGTATATATGTGTAGTAGATAGGGAACTTTACCAAGAGAGAGTGCACATTAAAAGTTGTTCTTGAGGAACTGGAGAGATGACTCAGTGGTTAAGAGCACTGGCTGCTCTCGCAAAGGACCTGTGTTCTGTTCCTAGCACCTGCATGGCTGCTAACAACTATAACTTCAGTTACAGGCAATTCCATGCCCTCTTGTGACCTCCGTGGTCATTGCACCCATGTGGTACACCTACATACATGTAGGCAAAACACTCATACACATGCGATTTAAAACATTAAATTGTTTTGGAGAACAGGTGGGAAACTGGGTGAGTCAGGTGGAAAGTTGGGGAAGGTTTCTGGGTGAATGTGTATGAGCTCTAAGGGTCCTGAGCAACATGAAGATGGAAGGAGATGAAAGCTGGGACTTAGGGTGGGACTGGCAGTGACTGGAGTCTGACAATATCCTTATGGAAGGCAAGCAGAGGGCAGTAGGCAAACCGTGCCTGGCCTTGTAGCCTGTGTTTAGGGGCTTTGGGTTTATGTGCTTTTGTAGATCTAGGTTTTTTTTGGGGTTTGTTCTTTTTTTTTTTTTTTTTTTTTTTTTTTTTTTTTTTTTTTTTTTGCTCTTTTTTGAGACACAGTCTCCCTATTGCCCCAGCTTGCCTGGAACTCAGAGAGATCCTCCTACCTCTGCCTCCCAAGTGCTGGGACTAAAGGCGTTCGCCATCACGCCGGGCATGGCTTTAATTTTTTAAATTGCATTCATTTGTTTATTTATGTTGTGTGTGGAGGGGCATGTGCCATGGTGTCTATGTGGAGGTCAGAGGACAGCTTGTGGGAGTAAGTTATTTCCTTCCACCACGTGGATCCTCAGGCTTGGTGGCAGGCACCCTTACCCACTGAGCCATCTTGCCAGTCTGCCTAAGGGTCTAAGACAGAATTTTGCTAAGCATTTGGTACAGGTAAGGCAGCTCTTAGGATTTGGTCATCTTTCTGCTATAGTTGTTTTACTGTGTGTTTGTTGAGTGCTACACTGGAAGTTAGAACTTAGTTGGGACGTGCTTACTCTTAAGCAGTGCAATAGGTTGTGGGGCAGTGTAATGTCTTGAAACAAGACCCTAAGTAATAAAGTATATCTATTTAGTGATTCCAACACTAAATTCAGCTGGAATTCGGGAAAGGAAATGATCAGTGAGGGCTGGATTAGTTGAAGGCTTTGTGGAATTCTTTATTTCATTTACCAGATGTTAATGGAACATTATACCATATACCACCAAAAATACAGGAGTCTAAAAACTGAGAAATTTGTTGGCATCATGGTGATAAATACACTTTTGTTGTACTGAAATTGGGTCTGTGAACTATACAATGAACGTGACTTAATTTCTTCCTTTTTCCAAATGGATCTTGTTTTGATCTTCCAAACAGGACTTTCAGTTTAGAGCGCTGAAGAAAGTGAGAATCTTGGACTCCCCTGAAGAGTTGCCCAAGGAGCGCTCGAGCCTGCTTGCCATATCCAACAAGTATGGTCTGGTTTTTGCTGGTGGTGCCAGTGGGCTATATGTTTTTCCTACTAAAAACCTTCTGATCCAGAACAAACCAGGAGATGACCCCAACAAAATAGGTCAGTAAGCAAGCCCTTTGATTTATGTTGCACAGTGAAGAAGATGCTAATGAATGTATTTCTCTCCAGGACATTGTTCTGATGGGAAAATTAAAATTGCTTTTGGACTTGAGATTTGCCCATAAGTTGTCTAAATTCCAGAAGAGTACCAGGCCATCTCCAGTCTCTGGCCCCTTTGTGATTTTGTTTCTATGAGCTGTTCTAAGAACAGCTTTTCTTTTGCTCAGTTTCTTCGGCTCTGGCTCTCTAGAGGGCTTTGGTTACATGGGCTTTAGTTTAGATGGGAATGTGTGTTTGGAACATTGTAGCTAAAGCATCTTCAGCAAGGACGGTAGCTACATTAGACTGAAGAGTGGGGTATTTAACAAGTCACCACCCATCTGTAGGAATGTGAAGGTTAATCTGTAAACTAGGTATCAGAGGGTGTGTGCTTATGTAGATGCAAAAATTGTTTCCTATTGACCTGGATAAAGGGATTATATCTCTATGCTTAGAACATGCTGTTTTCTACTTTTTTTGTTTTCATAGTTGAGAAAGTCCAAGGCTTGCTTGTTCCTATGAAATTCCCAGTGCATCACCTGTCCCTGAGCTGTGATAACCTCACACTCTCTGTGTGCATGATGTCCAGTGAATATGGCTCCATTATTGCTTTTTTTGATGTTCGCACATTTTCAAATGAGGTAAGCTACTGTGAACTAGATTTCCTCATAGGCATTCTAACTTGGAAGCCTCTCAGGTTAACCCTTGAAGTCTTTTTCTAGATTAAAATGTGGGTTATAAGGGCTGGAGAGATGGCTCAGTGGTTAAGAACACTGGTTGTTACTTGCAGAAGACCCGGGTTCGAATCTCAGAACCCACATTGCAGCTAACAGCTGTCTGTAACTCCAGTCCCAGGGGATCCAACAGCCTCTTCTGACCTCCATGGGCATTGTGCAATATGGTGCACTTACCTACATGCAGGCAATACACGCATACACATAAAAAATAAAAATAGTGAAAAAAAATATGGGTTATAGAAATATTCCTTAACTATAGAATCACGGGTCTTTGAGATGGGATTCCAATAAATTATTTCATAATACCACCTGCCCCAAGCTGTTAACATTTTTCATTTATATACAAGACTACCAAGAACAGAGCCTTAGATGATTTGTTCTTTGACAAGGCCATAGAATTAATGGGGAATGTCATATGTTCCTAGGTATTTGATCTAAGGTCTCCGAAGGCAGGGCTCTTCTGTTCCAAGTAGCTGAGGGATGATAGAGACATGGAGTGTGAGTGCTGACCTAGAGCCCTGGACTCTGTGTGTGTGTACCTTGTCCTGTCTCATGCTTGCCATAGCCTTGTATTGAGTACAGTGTTCTTCATCTACAGATAGGAAGACAGATCTCAGAGAGCTTAGGTAACATAGGCCAAGACTGGTAACATACCGCTGCAGTCCCTAGCACTTAGGAGACTGAGGCAGGGAGACTGAATTTGAGGGCAGCCTAGGCTAGACAAGATCCTATCTCAAAAAAAAAAAAAAAAAAAAAAAACCCAAACTCATCCCCCACTAAAACTAAAGAAACAAAAAAACCTATCCAAGGTTATTAAGAAGCAGAACCATGGGGCTGGAGCGATGGCTCAGTGGTTAAGAGCACTGATTGCTCTTGCAGAGGACCCAGGTTCAATTCCCAGCACCCACATGGCAGCTACAAATCGTCTTTAACTCCAGTTCCAGGGAAATCTGAAGCCCTCTTCTGACCGCCGAGGCATTGCACAACACGGGTGCACTCACATACATGCAGGCAATACACTCATACACATAAAAATAATTTAAATTTTTTTTTAAAAAGCAGAACCAAGAGATTAGTGCTCTAGCCACTATTTTTTATTTTGCATTTTGTATAGTCTTCTGCTGGCAGCCCCTCTGAGTGTAGTAGTTAATCGTGCTTCTAAGTTCTCTTGAAATTGTAAAAATGGATTGCTGTGCAGAACCAGATCTTTTTTCCTTAGTTATGGAGAAATATAGGCTATGATTTAATAAAGAATGTGTATTCCGTAATTTTCTCTGAATATTAAATGCCTGTGTTTATTAATTTATTTTACATTTGTGTGTTCATTTTAAAAGACTAAGCAACCAAAACGCCCATTTGCCTACCATAAGCTTTTGAAGGATGCAGGAGGCATGGTGATTGACATGAGGTGGAACCCTACTGTCCCTTCCATGGTGGCAGTCTGTCTAGCTGATGGCAGTATCGCTGTCCTGCAAGTCACAGACTCAGTGAACGTGTGTGCTACTCTTCCTCCCTCAGTGGCAGTTACATGTGGTGGGTAATAAAGCTTTCACTCCATAATATACGGTAATGGCAGACTTTTTAAAAATTAATTTCTGGAAGTAAAAGCGGATGATTTTCTTGTTTCATGGTGGATTTGGGGGAGGAGATAGAAATAGAGAATTCCCTATTTCTATAGTTACTGTCCTTGCAGCCAGACAGCCCACATGAATCAGTTTGAATGTGCTTGGGCTACTGAGAGAAGTATTTTAACCCAACTGGTTTAGAACTGTGTTTTTGAGAGTAATTGTTTCTGAAACTAGTTGCTGCCTGAAAGTCACTTGTGCCCCCTTGGGAAGAGCACTAGAAGTAGCCAGTAGAAATAAGAGGATGAAGCCTGGCTTTTGAAAAGCTACCCCATTCTTGACTTGTAGGATTCTCCTGAAAAGCATTCTTGGTCTTCAGTTAATGGCCCAGTGCTGAGTCATGATTGGCTTGTGTTAAAGTGCTCCTTTTTTCACTTTGCCAGGTGAGAATGGTCTCACGGCCTTCTGTAGACTGACAGGAAGCAGTGTGGTGGTCATGTAGCTATCCAGTGGTAGATCTGAGTGGTTTGCTCCATTTTCCTGTTTCTAATTGGCAGTGTTTGCTTCCCCAGTATGCTGGAGCCCCAAAGGAAAGCAGTTGGCTGTGGGAAAGCAGGATGGAACCGTGGTCCAGTATCTTCCTGTGAGTCACTGCTTGGACTTTATCACTCTTCTGATTTAAGTTACCCAGTGTTGGGGGAAGGATTGGGGGCATATTTGTTATTTAACTTTTTTTTTTTTTGGTCTTTTTTTGAGACAGGGTCTCCCTGTTGCTCCAGCTGGCCTGGAACTCACTATGTAGACCAGGCTGGCCTTGAGCTGACAGAGATTTGCCTGCCTCTGCCTCCTGAGTGCTGGGATTAAAGGTGTTCACCACCACACTCAACTTAAGTAACTTATGTTAGAGTGCTTGCCTAGCATGCATGAGGCCTTGGATCAATTCTCAGCACTACAAAAATAAATATAGTCATTTATGTTCATTGCAATACATCTGTCAGTGAATGATAAAAGATTAGACCTCTTAGCTTCGCCCCCTATTGCTTCCTTCCAGGGGAAGTGTAATGAGAGGCCTTCTGGCTTTTAGGGGTGCCTATACACATAGCGTGTGTAGGTGCATTGTTTTAGTTTTGCCTTTAAAGGAAAATGTGATCCTACTGTATGCACTATTTTCCGAATGTCATGTTTCTGAGCCATTCCACAAAAAGCATTTAAGAGGGAAAGGAATTAGTGAAAGCTATTACCATAACATAGACTCATGCCCAGTTAAAGGTCAGTATTTACCTTTTAACTGAGTCCCTCTTAAGAGTTGATTCCTCTGGTTGTGGACAGCAAACAAATCAGATGCACCTGTTTTTGCATTCGCTCATCCTCCTGTGATGTTCTTGAAGTAAAATAAATATTCCTCCGTATAAATGACCTCACAAAGAATCCACCTCTGTCCAAGCTTGACACGAAGGAAGGTTTGCAGGACTGTGCTCTGGGGGATTGCATGGTGGTATAGGTGTGAGCTTAAGGTTTTCTTATATGCCTATCATGTTAAAAACAACCTGGGGCAGGTGCCTGGGGAGATGGTTCAGTGGGTATAGTGCTTTGTCCTAGTTTGGTTTCTCTAGTGTTCTGATAAAACACTGACCAAAACCAACCTGGGGAGGAAAGGGTTTATTTCACCTTCAGCCCACAGTTCATCACGGAGGAAAGCCAGGGCAGGAGCTCAGGGAAGGAACCATAGTACAGACCATGGAGGAACACTGCTTATTAGCTTGCTCCTCTGGCCTGTGCTTGGAACTCACTATGTAGAACAGGTTGGCCTTGATCTCAGAGATCCACCTGCCTCTGCCTCCCAAGTGCTGGGACTAAAAGCATGTGCCACCACGCCCAGCTTAAGCTGCTTTCTTATACAACACAGGGCCACCTGCCCAGGGATGGCACCATCTACAGTGGACTGAACCCTCCCATATCATTCAACAATCAAGAAAATGCCCCATAGACATGACCACAGGCCACTCCAATGAAGGGAATTCCTCAATTGAGGTTCCCTCTACCCAAGTGTGTCAGGTTGACAACTGAAGCTATCTAGCACAGTTGATCCCTTGTTGACTTGATGCACAACCACATCACTATTAAACCACAACTTTTCCATTTCTTGTCTCCAAGGTGTGATATTAATATCACAGTATAAAACAGGTCAACTTTAAAAGCCCCATAGGCTTTTAAAAAGTTTTAAGTTCAAAATCTCTTTAAAAAGTCTCTCAGCTCTGGGTTCCTGTAAAATCCAAAACAAGTTACATACTGTCTTATTTCAGAGGGAAGAACTGAGTACATGTAAGCAAAACCGAAGTCCAGCATGTAGCTCTGTGTTGGACATCTGGGATTCGCTCACGCTCTTCTGGGCTCCAAGGGGCTTAGGCAGCTTCACTTCTCTGGCTCTGCCGTCCACAGCACACACAGCTTATCTCATAGGCTGGCTCCACTCCACACCTTCTGCCCTTGGCCACCCCATGGTGAGGTCTCATGCTGAGGTCTCCATTGCAACTGAAGCTGCATCTTCACCAGTAACATCTCCTGACCCCTCAGGATGCCAAGCCTTAGATTCTCTCCATGGCCCTTAAATCCTGGGGCACTTCACTGCAACTGAGACTATACCTTCACCAATGGCATCTGGCCTGTCACTGTGTAGGGCCTCAGAACCTCTTTGTGACTCATTCATACCTTTACCCCCCGTACCACCTGGGAGACTCCCAGATATTGCCAGGCTCTGCTGGCCTTTAGTGTGCAGCCTTGGGCCCTTCTAGACCACAGCTTCTATGTGCTGACCCTGAGAAAATACTTTCCAGAAGATTTCACTGATTGATGCTGATCTCTTGTTTTTCACCGCTGATTTTTTTCAACCCCAGCAGACCAGCATTGATTATCCTAGTAAAATGTTCAAAAGGTTTCACTTCCAAAAATTCTTAATTTGAGATATATCACACAAACAGCTCTAATAGAGTCGTTGCTTCCCTTTGAAGTTTCAGAAGCCAGGCCTCCATCATCTACACCTCTTTCTGCATTATCTTCCAAGTTCCTACAGAAGAGCTCACTGAGCTCCAAGCACTTTTCCAGTCCAGAGCTCTGAAAACTTCCGCAATCTTAGACACATAGGCAGGTCTGTTGTAGCAATATCCCACTCTCAGTACCAGTTTCTGTTTTGGTTACTTTCTATTGCTGTATTAAAGGCACTGACCAAACCAACACAGGGAGGGAAGGGTTTGTTTAATCTTACATCTCCCAGGTCACTGTTCGTCACTGAGGGAACTCAGGGTAGGAACCTGGAGGTGGGAGCTGGAGCACAGGCCATGGAGGAATGCTGTTTACTGACTTGTTCTCTGGCCTGTGCTTAACTTGCTTTCTTACACAACCCAGGACCACCTGCCCAGGGTTGGTACCACTCACAGTGGGATGGGCCCTCTCATATAACTGAATCAAGAAAATGCCCCACAGACATGGCCACAGGCCAGTCCAATGAGGTAATTTCTCAATTGAGGTTCCCTTTACCCACGTGTGTCAAGTTGACAACTGAAGCATCCAGCACATACTTATTGCACACATGTGAAGATCTGAAATGGATCAGATCCCCAGAAACCCCTCACATCTACAATCCCATCACTCCTACAGTGAGATGAGAGGGAGAGACAGGAGAGTCACTGCAAGCTCATAAGCCAGCTTGTCTGGGTTTTGCAGCTTCCTTAGGCAAGGTGGAAGGCAAGAACTGACACCCAAGATTGTCTGTCCTCTGCCCTCAACATGCCCGTGTATTTGTGCAAGTGCAGATAAAAAGAAATTTGTTTTAATTGGGTCTTGCTTCGTTGCCTGTGCTGGCCTCCAGCTCCTGCACTGAAGTAATTATTCTGTCTACAGGCATGCACCCTTGTGCTAGACTTGGTTCTTACTTGTTATGGCCAAATGTTATATGAAATTGGGTGTGTTCTCTTTGGGGAGGCATTAACCTCTGAAATAATAATGTGGTTTATTTAAAATTTGTTTATCTTATTGTTTTTTATTGTTTATTTTTATTTTATGTATATGAATGTTATGCCTGCGTGTATATAACTATACCTTGATGTGCAGTGCTCATGGAGAACAGAAGAGGGACTCAGATCCCCTGGAACAGATGGTTGTTAGCCGCTATGTGGGTGCTGGGATTCAAACCCAAGTCCTCTGCAAGAATAGTCTGTTTTTAACCGCTGAGCCATCTCTCTAGCCCCTCCCTTTTTTGTGGTATTTTTGAGACAGGGTCTCCCTGTAGCCCTGGATGCCCTAGAACTTACTATGTAGACCAGGCTGCCCTTGAACTCACAGAGACCCGTCTGCCTCTGCCTCCCAAGTGCTGGGACCAAAGACATGCATCACTACGCCTAGCCTACCCTTTTTATTTTTAATTAGTATATTGAGGTCTTTTCTCCAACTCATTACATACAGAGCTACTTTCTCCTTTGTGGCTGTGGACATACCACAGTTGATCTCCTTGATGGTCACCTGCATCAGTACTAATAGCTTTGTCACTGACTGCTGTTGCATTGAGCAGTCTCAGTACCTACATCTGAAGGTGTTCATGTGAGCATTTCCCTGGGCAGGGTGATAGTAGGCAAACATTCTTTTCTTTGCTGGGGAAGGAGATGAACACTCCTTTCTAAGGGAGCAGATTGGATCTGACAGTTTCATTGATTTAACCATTGTTTCATTTGACATTTTCCAAATTTTTTTCAGACTTTGCAGGAAAAAAAGGTCATTCCTTGTCCTCCATTTTACGAGTCAGATCATCCTGTCAGAGGTAACGACTGCTCTGCTTATTTTCTGACCTCTATGAGATGTTGTCCGCCCCGCAGCCATTTCAGAGCACACGACGTCCTCCATACTTGCTCAGGGGTGTGCCAGTGCCAGTCTCATGTTCAGTGTCACTATTAAATCAGTGTAATGTTTTGAAGTGGATTTGAAGTTTTACTAGAATTCTTGATAATTTTCCTTGATAATAATCCAGCAGAAAAAACTACTGCTTTGAAGAAATTGGGCTTATTCAAGTCTTTGTGTCTTTGAATTAGTCAATGAAGTGTGGACCTTTGTTAAAGTGTAGTGCTTTGATCTTTGTCCTTTGTTTGTATGTATGGTGCTTGGGATCAAACCCAGAGTTTTTCATGATAGTCATGTGCTGTACAACAGAGCTGGCCCAGCCCCAGTACTTTGATTTTTCACTCTTGCTGTGCCAAGCCTTCCCATGCAGTGACTGTTCCACACACGTTGCTTTTCGCTGTATCTAAGTGCTGAGATGTGATCACTTACTGATTGGTGGTGTGTATGTGTCTTTCAGTTCTGGATGTGCTGTGGATCGGTACCTATGTCTTCACAATAGTATATGCTGCTGCAGATGGGACCTTGGAAACCTGTCCAGATGTGGTGATGGCTCTTCTCCCGGTATGCATGTAGAAAGAGTAGCTTTGTTTTCTGAGAGCTAGAGAAGGCTTTAATGAAGTTAGGCTTATTTGAGAGGGAACTGACACTCCAACAGCTATCAAAATATCTGAAAGCAAATTCTGAATCCATCACTCTAGAGTCCAGCCTTGGAAGACAAGCCTTGAACTCACAGAAATCCATCTGCCTCTGCCTCCTGGGTGCTGGGATTAAAGGCATGTGCCACCACGCCTGGCCGATTTGTGCTTTTTTTGATAGGCTTTTGAAAACATGCCTGTCTTTTAGGAAAAGTTATACCAGGTTGTGTTTTACCACCACTGGGGCTCCCCAGCACAGGTTGTCAGTGTGCAGTGGTACAGGTTTCATGTGCTAGTGCATGAAAAGCTATCTTCGTAACTTTTTTTTTTCCTTTGAGACAGGTTCTCTCACTACAGCCCAGGTTGAACTAGAACTTACTGTGTAGCCCAAGCTGGCCTTGAACTTGCAGTAATCCTCCTACCTCAGCTTCCCCTGTGTTAGGATTGTTAGGAGTGAGCCACCACACCAGGCTGTTTTAGTAACTCTTTTGGGTGATGTATTATTTCAAGCTGTCATTAGACTCTTCTTACTTGGCAGTAACGTTCACAAGCACTTACTACTGACATCCCATACAGAGGGCTGAAAGCTTATCAGTGACGTGTCATTCATGGCACACTCAGAACAGGCTCTGAGGAAGCTTATGGGTCTGTTACATGGGTGAGAAAACCGAGTGGCAAGAGGTTGAGTGGTTTGCCCATGCCAGTCCCACAGCAGAACGTGATAAAATGCAGTTTGGCTGATGGCCTGGTTTCTCTTCTTGGACTGCTCGGTGCTGCCTGCATAGCTCGTCCCTGTGTCTGCATAGATTTTGTATCAGGTTTCTCATAAAGCTTGAGTGGGAAATTTTATTTCAAGATTAGTTGTGTAGGATTCCAGAAAAACTGTACATAAGATTGTTTTCTTTCTCTCTCTCTTGATTATAGAAAAAAGAGGAAAAGCACCCCGAGGTGTTTGTGAACTTTATGGAGCCCTGCTACAGCAGCTGCACGGAGAGACAGCATCATTACTACCTCAATTACATCGAGGAGTGGTGAGCAGGGTTCTTGCTCTCTCTGTCAGGCCACACACTCAGTGTGTTCCAGAAGGGATGTTCTCTGTACAATAAGAAAGTACAGGTTGGGGTGTCCTCTGTGTTTTTAACTGATGGATAACATCTTCCTGGCCACTAATTGCCCAATCCTGAGTTACTGATATTCAGTATGTACTAATCTCCAAAAGCCAGTTTTCTTAACCACAGGAACAATGACGAAAATACAGGTGTTTGTTTTGTTTTTGTTTTTTGAGCTAGAGTCTTCCTGTATTATTCTGGCTGACATGGAACTTGCTATGGACCAGGCTGGCCTCAAATTCAGAGATCCTCCTGCCTCAGCCTCACAAGTGCTGGGACAAAAGGTGTGCATTCCCATGTTCAGCCCATTTTTTTTGTTGTTTTTTGAGAGAGTCTGACTTGGTAGCCCAGACCGCCCTCAAACTTACTGTGATCCTCCTGCCTCAGCCTCCTGATTCCTGCGATTACAAGTGTCAGCCACCACACCTGGCTTGAAAATATTGGTACTGAAGGAACATATTCAAGGTTTCTCAGGAACAGCTTCTCTGTGAAAGACCACTGGTGCTTCTCTTCTCGAGCTAGATTTTCCTGCCCGGGGTAGTGCATTTGCTGGAACCCTGATTAGGTTCTGTTGTGCATCCTTTGTCTTTACCACTGGCTTTGCCCTGGAAACTAAAAGTTCAGCATCTTGAACCTTCCCTCCTTTCTTCAGCCAGATAGGAAAACTTTCCCTTCATGGGTGGAGGAAATCCTTACAGATGTTACTGCAGACCTAGTCAAGTTTGAGCTGTTGATGGCTTGAATGTAACAGCCTTCTGGTTTTGTTCTTAAGGGATTTAGTGCTGGCAGCCTCTGCAGCTTCAACAGAAGTTAGTATCCTCGCTCGACAAAGCGATCAGGTAAGTCTTTCTTTCTTGTCACTCTTATGTTGAATAATGCTTTTGGAGAAAGAGTACAGTGGACGTAACTGTGGTCAAGAGTACAGTGAGGACACGCCCCTCAGTGAGCTTGGCTTCCAGCAAATCCTAAATGACAATGCCACGGACTACACAGCCTTCTCTCCTTCCCTTTGCTCCCCTCCCCCTCACCTGGTTTTATGCAGTGTCGGGGATGGAACATATGGGGGCTGTGTACATGTGAGGTGGACATCCCACCAACTGAGCTGTACCCCAGCCTTGTTGGTATCTCCTGTTCTTCCTCCTTGTGAGAGGTGCAGTGCCTTACCTCTGCCCCTGCACTCCAGTTGTTTACTTATTCCTCTCTGTCCCTTTGCACTGCCCACACTGCTGTTCTGTGCATGCTGTCCTGTAATGGTTATCTGGTCTTTTGCTTTGCCTGTAGGTTGCCTTTAAGAGTTAGAATCAGCTGGTCTGCAGCCGTGTGGCTGTGCCTTACTCACTCCTTGGCGCAGTTATGAAGTATGAGTGTGTGCCCTTCCTTGCCTGAACAGCTTCTGTTTTTCCAGCTTGTGTCCTATTCCTGTCTGACTCATGCTGCCCAGCTGGTCAGGACAGAAAGCTAGACAGAATGTTAGGGAATTTAAAACTCAAAAGTTGTTAGATGGAACAGAGCCCAACCAAGCAAACTGAAGCAAAAGGGGAATTATTGGAAAGATGTGGAAGCCTCATGGAATGTAGGGAATAGGACTGACCAGTCCATGACATCAGGAAGATAGGACCTAAAAGTTACCATCTGTTTTAGCAGACAAGTGGGCACAGGGCATCTCCCAAGTGCGGCTGTTGGCCCCCTCCCTTCCGTTTGCAGAAATTGCCTATTGTAGAAGGCACTGAGATTGTGTTCATGATAGTGCTCATAAGGCAGGTGGAGAAGTTGATTTGGAAGCTTAACACTCACCTGCTGCGCTACGCAAGTCTTAGGTTATTGTCCAGGTGTCGGAGCTCCATTCTGCATGTAAAACTAAGCCATGTGCCGTACTTCTCCTGTTTGAATGGTGCGAAGCTCTGGGCAACACTCATTTTCTTTCTGTCTTCTTTTTCTTCCAGATTAATTGGGAATCATGGCTACTGGAGGATTCTAGTCGAGCTGAACTGCCTGTGACAGACAAGAGTGATGACTCGTTGCCTGTAGGGGTTGCCATAGACTATACCAACCAAGTAGAAGTTGCCATCAGTAAGTGTTGCCTGGTGTTGCTGTTCAATAGCTGTTCTTGTAATGGCTAATACTGAGAGGCCAGTTGGCACATTTCTACCTGAAGAGTGGGGCAGGTGCATTGAGACTGCTAAGCCACCAAAGATAGGTACTCATTGCACAGCCAGCTGCTGTTCACCCTCCTGTGTCCGGGACGAGCATGTAACATTCAGTTTCATTTGTGCCCATTCAGTTCCCCAGTGACCTCACAAGGAGCATCACCCTAAGCCGGTACTACCTGCCAATACATAGTTAAGGGAAGGCAAGGCAATAGAGGGCTAAGCCCGTCTTTTCCACGTGGGGTCTGGATCTGTGCTCTGAATGCGTCTTTTCCCTGTGGGAGCTCAGCCGAACTACAGTGAGGGAGAGGTGACACGGCAGCCAAGGAACCGCTACCTGCTGTCACTTCCCTCAGCGCTGCCCTGGTCAGACACCTTGAAGCTCCTTTTCCTTTTCCTGGTTGGGTAGGCGTGTTTGGTCTGGTGAACTTGTTACACTGATCCTCTTTTGTACACAATTCAGCAGTGAATACATATAGTGTAAAGCAATTCAACTCACCTTCAGAGATTCTTCCTCCTTTCTGTGTGTGTTTCAAAGGATAATCTTGTTTTTGCACTGGACCTGGTGTTGCCTAGACAGCTCTGTCTGTCAGGGATGCTGAACCTACCTCTTCCTGAAGGGATTCTGGGGAAATGTAGGGCCACTAGGGTGTCCTGCAGGGCCCAGCAGGATGGTGGTCTGACCAAGTAGCCATTGCTGAAAGGCTGTTCAGACCTGAATCAGCTGTGGGCGCCGGCTGCTGTGGAGGGCTGTCTTTCAAAGCCTTCTGGAGCCAGGGCTGAAATTTGACTAGGCTCTTTTATCACCTTGTTTTCTTTGTTTTTCCATTTCTTTCTTGGTTTTTTTTTTGACAGATGATGAAAAGACTCTTCCTCCTGCTCCAGTTCTCCTGTTACTTTCAACAGATGGTGTGCTTTGTCCATTTTATATGATCAATCAAAATCCTGGGGTTAGGGCCCTAATCAAGACCCCAGAGCAGCTCTCATCAGAAGGAGAGCGACAGCCTAAGTCATCAGGTACGTGCTTTTGCCTGCTCTGGAAAAATGAAATGTTCTGTGCAGCACAGGATCATCTCCAAGGATGGACATGACTTAAGACATGGGTGGCCATCCTCACCGAGCCAGTCTACCCTAGGAAGGCTTGGACTGATCTCATCCTCAAACACATGTGCACGCCCTTGCCTTCTTTTACCCCTAGGTTCATTCCCCAACCATTATTGCACTTGAGTGAAAAGGAAGGCCAGCTGGACTGACCCCTGCAGGCTCATTACCCTCTGCCCTATGGCCCGAGTTGTAAAGATCTGTTTAACCATGAGGGTTAGTAGATTATGCATTCACATGGTAAGATGCTGTGTCACTAGGAAGCATGTCGATTGACAAGAGGGATAGTAGAATGTCTCACAGAGAAGCACCATGGTAGCGTGTGATCCTTTTGTCTGAAGTTTAGATGTAGGACACTACTTGAAAGGTGGATATTAACTTTAGTGGCTATTTCTGGGTGATGGGACTATGGAAACTTTACTCTCATATTTCACTGTCTTTTGGTTTCTTTTTTCGTTCTCTCTGAAAGCATTGTTTAGGTAGCATCTGTTTACTAGTGAAAAATTAGCCCATGAAAGAATCCATAGGCCATCAAGCAGTAGCCACAGTCCGCATTTTGGGATGTATTCTTCATGTGCATAGATGCACACATAGAAGTATAATCTATACTTTCAACAGTTTTTTTCAGTGGCATTGTGTCACTTGTAGGAAGAATATGTCAAACTTGTTAGAAGAGATTTTTTTCCATATATTGGAATTTTACTGTATTTCTCTCTTTAAAAAAAAAAAAAAAATCTGTGAAAATATAACTGATACTTGTGTGGCTAAGAAGCCCATAGTGTCACCAGTTCCATGTCTAAGAAGAACTGTTGACCAGTAGGGTGAGATACATCTGATAATGCTTGGCTGTATTTTCTTGCTGTTTCACAATGCAGAGTGAGTTGTATAGCACAGTAAGAGCCACTCAGGTACTGGGACCCTGCCAACTGCAGTGCAACCCCAGTGACTCCCCAGGAGGCCGGCACAGACTGCCAGTGCTGTGTTGGGATTCCCCATTACCTGTAGTCTATGCTCTTTGAGTTGCGTTCTCTCCTCATACTGCTCATGAACACCTATACCCATTGCCCGTCTGTCTCAATAAGCAGGCTGCTTGTCTGCTCAGCATCCTGAGGGCATAGTTTTTGAGCGTGTGCTGCTTTAGGGGCCATGGAACCACCATTAACTGCCTGAGCACAACCACAGGTGCTTTGCTGGTAGCTTTCTCCACAGGCTTCTCTGTCTTTTCACATTAGGTGCAGAGGTAACATCCAAGCTCTGATGAGTGGAAGAGGGGGATAAGAGCAGAAGACAGTCTGTCCTGGCACCTGCCGGATCTGGCTAAGACTTAGGTCGTAGGTTTGGGAAGATAGATACTGATGGGTCTTTTTCCACACAACAGCTCCAAGAATGCTGTATTGAGTGGCCAGAAGTAGTAGCAGGCTGGTGGTTTCCAATTTTTCAGCTGTAGTTGCGGGGGAAAGTGTCTGGCATTTCTTTAGGAAATGTGTGTTACGTTCTGGGCTATTGCCTAATGTGCACAGAGGTGATGATGTCTGCATTTGTCCTGATGCTGCTGTCTTGCTGGTAAAAAGTTTCAAATTGACTTTAGGTTTATATGTGTTTTTAATTTATGATTTAGAGGGCAATTAGAAAACACCTCATTTAGCCCAGCATGGTAGTGCATGCCTTTAATCCCAGCACTCAGGAGGCAGAGGCAGGCGGATCTCAGTGAGTTCCAGGCCAGCTAGGGCTACAGGGAGACACTGTTTCCAGACAAAAACAAAAACCTCATTTACATTGTGTTTGATGAAAGAGATTAAATTTTTTTTATTATTTTATATGTATGAATGTTATGCCTGCATGTATGTAAATGTACCTATATTGTGCAATGCCCTTGGAAGACTGAAGTGGGTGTTGAATACCCTGGAACTGGAATTACAGGCAGTTGTTAGCCGCCATGTGGGTGCTGGGATTCAAACCTGGGTTTTCTTCAAGAGCAGAAAGTGCTCTTAACTGCTGAGCATTTCTCCAGTCCACCTCTTCTCTTTTTGAATTAGGCTCCGAGTTTATATTTTTTAGTCTTGAAACTTTTAAATCTGATTTGTCAGGTTTTGGTTTTTTGTTTTTTGTTTTTTTTTTGAGACAGGGTCTCCCTGTAGCCCCAACTGGCCTGGAACTCACTTATGTAGACCAGGCTGGCCTTGAACTCACAGAGCTCCTCCTGCCTCTGCCTCCCAAGTGCTGGGATTAAAGGCGTGCGCCACCACGCCCAGCTGGAATTAATATGTTGAGGTAGAGACCTGAGCTAGTTTTTTCATGGTTGTTAATGAAGTAATGCAAAATGACGTCCTCTCTACCACTGACCTTCATTGTGTCTGCCTTATTAGGTTGGGTGGCCATGACCCTGTTAGCCTACCGTCTTTCCCCGTTTCCTCATTCTTTCAAAGTCTCATACATCGTATCCTATGGAATGCTGGCCCTGGAAAGACTAGTGTCAACCCGGCCCCATCTTTGTTCTTCACAGGGACCGTTTCCAGCTTCGTTCGACCACAGACCCTCTTGTGCTTGCTTTTTGTCTTGTGAACCACCAGGGTGACAGTATTAATGTTTCCCTTTTTGTTTTTCCTCCTTGATTTCCATTACAGGAAGTGTTCCCAGCACCCCAACTTCCTCTCAAGCCCCTCAGAAACTAGACACCCCAGCAGCAGCAGCCCCCCCCTCCCTTGCACCCGTGCCCTCTGCTGCTCCCACAGCCACCTTCCCTTTGCCCTCTGCTGGGGGCAGCCCTGCTGTCTTCTCCTTTGGTGCCTCACCCTTGAAGTCATCTGCTCCTGTCACTGGGGAGGCCCCTCCCCATCCCAATGGTTCTGACAATCCTAGAGCAGCCCTGGGCTCTGGTCCCTCTACCTTCTCTTTTGCTCCTCCTTCTAAAGCCCCCCCAACCCTGAGCCCTGCAGCCTCCCCCATGGCCCCATCTGCTGCTTCCTTCTCCTTTGAGTCTTTGGGTTTTAAGCCCACCATGGAAAGCACACCGATGTCAAGTGCTGCAAACACAGGAATGAAGTCTTCATTCCCTCCCCCAGCCTCTTCAGTGAAGGTCAACCTTAGTGAAAAGTAAGTCACTTTCAAAGTTTGATTCTTTGATAGAATGAGAACATTGTATATTATTCACTGGGACTCTGTGAAGTTCTGAACAGATTTTTGTGTGTGTGTGTGAAGTACTATTTAGAAATGGAAATTCAACCAATGGAAAGGTTTGCATTTCATCAGCAAGTCAAGTTCACAAGTATCTTTTAAAGAGCATTTTACTCTTTTTGATTACAAGAAATGTACACTTAAATAGTCATTTTGCTTTTTCAGACTGTGGAGATAGAAGGTATTCCTTATTTTCAAAAAGGAAGCAGCCCAAAGCATACATCCTGGAAAGGAAATGAACCCTTTAGTCTTTTCCCTCCTCGTATCCACCCTGAATCCCTCACCTGTTTTCTGTACAGCCACCAAAGTGACTTGTACAGTTGTGGATACATGAGGTGACTCCTGCTTGATGGTCCCCAAAGGTTTCTCGTTGCTTTCCGGGTACAATTCAAACCTTTTACCATGGTGTCCAGTTTCCTTGGGATCTAGTTCCAGCCAGCTTGCTCATACCTTATTTATTCACCTCTCCATCTGCTTTTTTCTGTTCTCCCTACTAAACTGAGCATCTGGAGGGCGCACTCCCTTGTGCCATAGAGCTTTTTCCATTTGCCACTGATTGTCAGAACTATTGAACTACCCTACTCACCTGTACCTCATTGCAGGCACTGCCACTGTCTAGCCTTCCATTTTGTTGGCAGCACCATAATTGGAGCAGCATCTGGTGCTGGATACTTAGATTGTCTACAGACTTTGTCTCCTCTGGAATTGACTGGACCATAAGATCCCAAAGATGCTGACCTACTTGCTTCCCTCTTTTTCTCTCCCTAGAGGTGAAACAAATTCTTAAAATACGGTAAATTCAGTTTTTACCTCCACATTAAGTATTTGAGTGATTGTAGTTGACCATTTCGTTCCTAAAGATGATAAATGTTTCTTTGCAGCTTTCCTGTGCTATGATTAAGTAGTGAGTGAAATGTTTATGTTTCCTGGAGAGGCAGTGAAGTATGGGTGGTCAGTTACCGTGAGGACCCAGCTCATGACCAGTGTGAAAGAATGTCCTCGCAGACTGCTGTGCTCCAGCCTCACTGCTGCTTTCAGGCTCACCGCTGTGGCCTCTTCTGCTCCTCTTCACAGCTCTCCAAGCGGACCCTCCATGCTGCCATTCTCTTCCTCCCCGAAGCCAGCTGCTTCCGGACCACTCAGCCACCCCACGCCTCTCTCAGCACCACCCAGCTCCATGCCTTTGAAGTCTTCGGTTTCTTCCTCCCCATCAGGTATGCTCTGCAGCCCCCCAACCTTCGTCCTCAGGCCTCTCTTTTACAGATGTACGGACTTCAGTATGTTAAAGAGTCTTGCTGACATAGTTGGCAAGGTTATTTTTGTTGTTGTAGTTATTATTATTATTATTATTATTATTATTATTATTTTGCTTGCTTCACTATGCTGTGACCGTTGTGCTGTGGATTGGGAAGTTTGCAGTGGCTTCAGTTCTATTAGGCTTTTCGTAGACGCCTATGGAGATTCAAAGAACATGTCCTTGGCCAGGCTTGTCTTATGTGCAGCCTGCTCTAATGAAGGCCAGTTCCTGAGCTGCTCTTCATTGTGCTCAGAGGAGAGAGCCCTCCGTGACTCACGCTTACTGCCCCTTGTGACTCTAATTAGATTTTCTAATTAGATCCACCATACCATAAGCAAGTTTGTGGACTAAAGATCTTTAATGGGAATAACTGTAGACAGTATATAAAACTCCAGAACAAAATACCTAGCTTCCCTTTTTCCTTTCCTGTCATATACACAGAGGCTGCAGAAACTGTATAGTGAGCACTGACCATCACCAAGGTTCAGCACTTGCAAGTAGTTTTTGCACATTTGCTTTATCTCTTTTTGTTAATGTAAAATTTCGTAAACATTTGCGAGTTAATTGTGGGCATTGTGAAACGCTTGACTTCTAGATAAACCGGTGCCTGAAACCAAGACTATATACAATACACTCTTACACACAAGCAGTGTAACAGCTGTCAAACCTAGAGTCCATGTCACATATCCCCAGTGGTCCCAGCAACATCTTTAATTGCCTCCATTCCAGGAGCCAATTAAGGGTCATACTCAGCGTTCTGTTTTTCTCTCCTTGGTCTCATTAACATTTGTGAGGAAGCCGGCCCCATGGTTTGGGGTACCATCCCTGTTTGAATTTTGATTGTTTTGACATGATAGGCTTCAGGTTAAAAATTTAGGGTGGGTGTTGAACGCCCCCCAAGCCCAGCAGGCTTGGGTCTTCAACAAGAAAGAAACTCAGACAAAAGTCTGAAGTTACACGAGGAATTTATTAAAAGGAAGGCAGGTACAGGTTGGGGCGTGATCGTCAGAAAGAACTCTTTGTGGGGTTCTCACAGCTCCTTTTTGTATAACTCGGAGTTGGGGTCGCCAAGGTGATTTTTCTAACAGAAACAAACAAGTTACTATGGATACAGCATGTAGCTGCATCTTCCGGTGCCCGCAGACCGAACTGAAACTAACTTTCTAGAAGACCTGATTTGTCATACAGGTACAGCTTGTCAGCTCTGACCACTGAAGCAGAGCACTCAGAAGCTCTTAAAAGTGGCACGCTTCTAATTTCCAATGCTTATGTCAAGCATGGCTCCCAACAGGTGGGGACACCACATAGGTGATCTCTGCAACAGGTCATGCTTTCATTTAGCCTGACTGCAGAGCTTGTTTAAGTGACCTGGGGAGTGGGAAGAGTTTGCTAGGTCTAGTACAGGTTTTAAGTTGTTTATTGGGTAGCCATTTGGATTTGAATATCTAGAATAATTTTATTTTAGTAAATATTGAGCAGCTATTGATCTGTGAAATTCCTGAAGCCTTTGCTTTCTTACCTGTTCCTCCAAGGGAGGTTTCCTCTAGTGAAGTTTGTCAGTCACCTCAGTCTGCCAGCTACGCATATCTTGTTACCTCTCTTCACTGAAAGGAGAGACATTGTGACCACAGCACCACCCACTTCCGTTCTACTGCCCAAAGAGTTAAAACCATGCTTGCAAACCCACAGAGGTCAGAAGAGGGCATTGGTCCCCTAGAACTGGAGTTACAGACTGTTGTTAGCCGTCATGTGGATGCTGGGAACTGAACCTGGGTCCTCAGCAAGAGCAGCCAGTACTCTTAACAGCTAAGCCATCTCTCCAGCCTCTCTACCTAATTTCTGAGACAGATTCTCTTACTGAAACTGGAGCTTATTGCTTCAGCTAGACTGATAGGCCAGCAAACCCTAGGAATTCTCCTGTCTCTGCCTCCCCAGTGCTGGGATTATAGGAGTGCTGTACGGTGCCTAGATTTGTACATGGGTCCTGGGGGTCAAAACTCAGGTCCTCATTGCAGCAAAGACCTTACCAGCTGAGCCATCTCCCCAGCCTAGTTTAAGTTTTGAAAGCTCCTTAGATGACTAATATGCAGCTGGGTGAGACCTGTCTTAGAGATTGCAGGGTCCTAGAGACTCTCAGTTCTCACAAGGTGCTGGGGACTCTTGTTCTAGTCCAGTGGGTTTTATAAAAGTATTTTATATATAAAACTTCAACATCGGTTTTCTTGGTATCTTAGAGCATTGCTGGTTTTGTTGTTTTATTTTTTTTGTCTTTTTTAGACAGGGTCTCCCTGAAGTCCCAGCTGACCTGAACTCACTATGTAGACCAGGCTGGCCTTGAACTCACAACGATCCGCCTGCCTCTGCCTCCCGAGCACTGGGATTAAAGGTGTGCGCCACCACGCCCTGCTAATTATTATTTTTATCTTATGTGTTTCCCTGAGTGTATTGCCTGCATGTATGTAGTGTACTCATGCAGTGCCCATGGAGGTCAGAAGAGGGCGTCAGATCCCCAGGAACTGGAGTTACAGATGGTTGTTAGCCATCATGTAGGTACTGGGAATCAAACCCAGGTCCTCTGCAAGAACAGCCAATGCTCTTAACCGCTCTCCAGCCCCTAACTGACTTCTTATGCTATTTATGCTAGGAGGCCGAGCTGCTCAGGGCAGTCCAAGTTCAGCGCCCTCAATGGTACAGAAATCACCCAGGATAACCCCTCCAGTGGCAAAGTCAGGCTCTCCTCAGGTATGTTTAAATTCTCTTAATATACTTGACTTTATTAATTTACTGCTTCAAACATGCATGCTAATAAAGTGGTTTCTGCGTTTTAGAATTCAGATGTGGAAACATAATTAAGACTATGTAGTAGGAAATGCCAAAGTATGTGCCTTAAACTTGTAATCTATACTTATAAAAGCAATTTATGTATTCAGGTTTTTTTATTTTTATTTTTGGTCTTTTTGAGGCAGGGTCTCTTTGAAGCCCCAGATGGCTGGAATTCACTGTGTAGACCAGGCTGGCCTTGAACTCACAGAGATCCACCTGCCTCTGCCTCCTGAGTACTGGGATTAAAGGCGTGCGCCACCACACTGGGCATCTATTCAGTTTTGTTTTGTTTTCAGTTTAAATTTTTCATTTCATTAACTTAAAATGTGAACAAAAATGTGTATTTGAAGTCTTATTAAACTTACTTACCTGAAATATATTTTACATAGAGGACAGGTAACAGGATTTTCAAGTCACATATGGGAAAGTCATTATGCATTAAAAAGTAATCTTTCTTCCACACACACAGCTCTTCCCTTTATATTGTATACAAGCTAGATGCGAACTTCTGATGTAAACTTAATTCATGTGAACGCTGATGGTGGAGATGGGAGCCACAGGTGTTCACAGTTCAGTTAAACGATGGAAACAGTGCTGCTTCACTTGGACACGAGACGCCCCAACCCAGGCCCCTCAGTAGGACTGTGCCTCACGCTCGCATGTCGCTTCTTGCTGGTCCCTTTTTATTCCCCTCTCCTTGCTGAAGACTTGTGTCAGCGCCTCCTGTTTTCTGTGTCCTCGTTTTTAGTTTGGGAATCATTTCAGCTGCGTACAGCCTTACTGACTGTGGGATGGAAACTCTATGAGACAGAGGTTGCCATTGTCCTGTTTGAGCTGTACTTGGACTCTGCCTGTGTACTGAACGTCGCGATTCTATTCTCTGGAGTACATTTTATTTTTCTCAAGAAACACGTTCAGTCCAACTGCCATGTATACATCTTGAATCTCTGTAGCTGTAGGATTTTCAACAGCCTTGCTTATGAGAATCCGCCTCCCCTCTGCGATGGTCTTATTGTTTAAATAAGCAGGATAGATAACAGATAAACCTCGCAACAGCGCAGGCCATCTCCACCAGGCCACAGCTTCGCCGCAAGCTACCCCTCAGTTTTTGGGGTTTTTAAAAATATTTTATTTGCTCTTTTTATTTTATGTGTATGAATGTATTGCCTGCATGTATGTGAGTGCACCCATGGAGGTCAGAGGAGTGCATTGGATCCCCTGGAGCTGGAGTCATGGATGATGGTTAACCACCATGTTGGTGCTGGGATTCGAACCTGGGTCCTCTGCAAGAGCAGTCAGTGCTCTTAACTACTGAGCCATCTCTCCAGCCCCATCTATTCAGTTTTTTAATTGGCATAATTTGCATAGAAAAAAATGCATGTGATATGTGTACACCTCAGTGTTTGTCTCCAGCTAAGTGTTCCTTGGTAGCCACCTCCCAAGTTGACAAGGAAGTCATTAACAGGGCCCCAGGGCTCCTCCTCATGTATCCTCTTTGGGTGTCCACCCTTGCCAAAGGCACCCACTATCCTGACATCTAACAGGATGTAGGTTAATTTAGCCTATTTGTTAGTTCCCGTCAAATGGAATTGTGCAGTATATATTCTTGCAATCATGCACTTTGTCCATATCCTGTTGCTGTGTAGAATTCATTGTGGCATACATTACAGGTACTCCTTCTGTCCTGCTGAATAGAAGTCCACCCTTGAGTTAAAACGGTTCTCAATAGTGTTGCCCTGACCGTTATAGTTGATGTCTTCTGGGGAACATGTGTACATTTCTTTGAGGCTTACACTTGCCTGGAATAATCAGTTTGTAGACTGTACACACATTCCTTTTAGCAGCTTGCCACCAGTGGTATATGACAGTTCCGTTCCTTACCAGTCTGGGTATTTTTCTCCTTGTTGTATTTTTTTATTTTAAGTCATATTTCCCTAATGACCAGAAAAATTGAGTTTTATCATGATTTTGGGTATCTTAATGTTTTGTTTATTCTCTTACTGTCTTTAATGTTCTCCTATTGGATTGTGTTCTGGTTTGATTTCTGTTGCTGGGATGACACACTGATCAAAAGCAGCATAGAGAAGGAAAGGGTTAGTTTGGCTCACAGTTCCAGGTCGCAGTTTGCCACTGAGAGAAGTCAGTGCAGGAACTTGGAGGCAGGCCTGCTTGCTGTTCTACACAGCACTGCCTTTGACCAAGGAACTCACTTCACAGCCAGAGGACTACAGCAGGAACCATGAGATGCTACTGGTTGACTCAGTCTGGCCTATACTCACCTAGCTTTCGTACATGGTTCAGGACCACCTGCAAGACCACCTGCCTAGAGATGGCTCCACCGACAGTAGACTGGGGCCTCCTACAAAAATTAATAATTAAGACAGTGTCCCACAGACTTGCCCACAGACCAGTCTTATCTAGGCAGTTCCTCAATTGAAACTCTCCTCCCAGATGACTGTAGGCTGTGTCAAGGTGACAGATAAAGCTAACACGTTCTATCTTCTTCCCTGAATTTTCATGTGTGCACATGCAGGGATTGACTCTAGGGCCTTGTACATGCTTAGCATGAACTCTACAAGTGATCTGTGCCTAGTTGTTGTATCTCCTCTTTGAATTGCCTGTCATGGTTTCGTTTAATGAATACAGGTTGTTTACTGTGTCTGGTTGTGTCTTCTTTCCTTTCTCTGTTTTGTAGTGCTGGGATTGAACCCTGGCTCCGCATATGCTAATTAAGCTGCAACCCCAACCCAGACTTTTCATGTTTTGTTGATAGATTTGTATTGATTTATTATGTGTGTGGTACATGTGCCTGTGTGTGAGAAACCAGAGAAGGACATCGGGTATCCAGCCCTCACTTGCCACCTTATTCCCCTGAGACAGGATCGCTCACTGAACCTGGAGCTAAGTGGGCAGCCAGCAAGCCCCAATGATCCTCCTCTTTCTGCCCCCATAGCCCTAGCTCCCAGCCCTGGGTTTACAGGTGCCCGTGCCTGGCTTTTTCAGTCGGCTTGGGGGTTTGAAATCTGGTCCTTCTGCTCCGCTTACACTGAGTGTTCTTCCCGGAGTCAGCTCCCCAGCTTTGTACGTGTAGTTTTAGAGATCATTTTCTAGTTATAATCAAAAAGATTTTCCTCTGCTTTTTAAAACTTTATTTTTCCTGTCAGATTTAGCTCTGTAACCGTCATCTCCACTCTTTTGTGTGGCTGTAATGTCTGTCAGTTTCCACTTGAGTGTCCTAGGAGCAGGAGTCATGCCTTTTCCTGCTGTGCTTCCCAGTACCAGTCCTTCACCACCACCCACACGTGTGTACTGGGCACATAGAAGCCATCCAGTTCACAGTTCTAACTGGTGGCATAGTGCCCAACACATGGTATTTGTTAGTTGATGTTTGCTATCTTAGTGACTGATCTTGCAGTGGTTTGAAACCACTCGTAAGATACATCAGATTTTGACATCTCTTGCACAGAAATCTTGTTGCTGTCTCTCTGAGAAGCTTTTCCACCTCCATAAACAGCACAAACACACTGGGGATTTGTAGTCTGAAGCAGAGGTATCCTGAGTCGTCCTTTTTCTCTGAGAGTACTTCTCCCCAGTCTAGACTAGCACAAGGTGCTGTCAGTCATGTCATCCTTCATATGTACTGTGGTGTGCTGGATCGCTTCAGTTGTCAACTTGACACACTTGTGAAGAGGGACTTCAATTGGGGAATTTCCTCTATTAGATTGGCCTGTGGGCATGTCCGTGGGGTATTTTCTTGATTATTGAGTAATACAGGAGGGCTCAGCACACTATGGGTGGTGCCACCCCTGGGCAAGTGGTCCTGGTTTATATAAGAAAGCAAACAGAGGGGGCTGGAGAGTTGGCTCAGTGGTTAAGAGCATGGACTGCTCTTGCAGAGGACCAGGGTTCAATTCCCAGCACCCACATGGCGGCTACGAACCGTCCTTAACTCCAGTTCCCGGGAATCCGAAGCTCTCTTCTGACCTCCGCAGCATTGCATGACACGGGTGCACTCACATACATGCAGGCAGTACACGTACACATAAAATTTAAAAAACAAAAAGCAGGCAGAGTACAGGCAAGGGGGACAAGCCAGCAGGCAGCAGTCCCTGGTGGTATCTTTCAGTTCCTGCCTCCAGGTTCCTGCCCTCTTCTCCCTCAATGATGAATCGTGGTTGAGATGTGTAAGCCAAATAAATCCTTTCTTCCACAAGTTGTTTTGGTCAGTGTTTTATCACAACAGTAGGAAAAGTGACTAGGACAGTTGTCCTGTGTCTTGTGTCAGGCTGGGACTGTCTGCCTAGCTGGCATTCTGACTGCTGTCCCTGTTTTGTCTCCCACCTCTCATTGCCACTTTGAGCAGCAGTTCAAATACTCTTCTGAACACTTTTGAAATGCTTATCATAGCTTTTACTTAAAAGTGGAATTCAAGCTCCTTGGTGTGTAGCATTACATGCCTGCCTTCCTGACCCCACATCTGTTCTGACTGTCCTGCCCAACTTCGTTAAATCCCCATTTCTCTTACACCTAGACATACCAGGGTCTCCCCTCCTCTAGGTCTTTGTGCTTGCTTTTCTTGGTGCCTCATATTGGCCCAGAGCCTTCTCTCACTTGTTCCCTTTCAGACAGCAGCCTTGGGGGCTTTCATGGCCAGCTCAAGTGCCCCTTTTATTTTAGGTTTTCCTGTTCACTTACCCATCGAAGTATCTAACATGTTTACTTATTGTCTGTCTTGTTCTGAAGAAGGTAAGTTCCCTGTGGGGACATCCTCTCTCTCACCTGTTTCCACTGTACAGAGCATATCCTAAACCAAATGGAGGCCAGTGACACGGTTCAGAAGACTGATGAGACGCACAGTGTTGGGCAGAGTGCTGCTCCCTGTGAGAAATGAGAGCTTGTGGGTAGAATCCGTCTTTAACCTTCACCTTCCATTTCAGGCCAAGTCACTTCAGCCACCTGTCACAGAAAAGCACAGCCATCCGTGGAAAGAGTCAGACCCCGTGATGGCTGGAATCGGGGAGGAGGTAAATTCATTGCCTGAGCATTTTTTTTCTGGAAGTAGCTCTTGACAGTGAAACTGTACTGGGCCCAAGTGTGGCCACCTGCATGACCAGTGTTCCAACGTCGGGGCCCTGCCAGGCCCAAGCTTGTGCTGTGAGTAACATGGCAGTGCTGTGACTGCTGCTGCTCTGACCAAGCTGTTTCCCCACTTGTGACTCCTGCAGATTGCACACTTCCAGAAAGAGCTGGAGGAGTTGAAGGCCCGGACTTCCAAAGCCTGTTTCCAGGTGGGCACTTCAGAGGAGATGAAGATGCTGCGGACAGAGTCGGATGACTTGAACACCTTCCTTTTGGAGATTAAAGAGACCACAGAGGTTTGTTTGTGAACATTTTTCCTGAGTAGAAGTGAGTTTTTAGAAATTATTCTAATGCTGCATGGTGTAAATCCATCTGCTTCAAGAACCATCCATGCTATTGTTGCCATGCTGGCTGGTTCACCTGCAAAGGCCAGGATTCAGTATTTATAGGACTTAAATCAGCAGACGTAGGGAAACCTTTCTAGCTTCTGTTTCAGTTCTCATCTGTAAAATGGCTCATAGTTTCTACCCCTTTGACACCTTCAGGCATTATCAGTCTATTATCGTTGTTAATTTAACAGGTATACTTGAAAATGTGTGTTAATAGCATTGTCTTAAGAAAACAGTGTTTTGCCGGGTGGAGTGGCGCATGCCTTTGATCCCAGCAGTCAGGAGGCAGAGGCAGGCGGATCTCTGTGAGTTCAAGGCCACCTTGGTCTACATAGTGAGTTCCAGGACAGCTGGGGCTGCAGGGAGACCCTGTCTCA